GGGTGCGGGGAATCTCCCTTTGGCCTAGGCTGGAGAAGCAGAGGTTCTGGAGGTTCGGAAGTGGGCTTAGAGCTGGGGAGTGAGGGACAGAGTTTTGGAGGGGGTTGGGGGCATGACAAAGACTTAGAAACCCCTCAGGCCCCTGCCACCTCATCACTGTCATGTGGTTCGCCTCCAGCTCCCAGAACAGTTCCCTTTAGCAGGCCAAGGGCTCCCCCGGGCCCTGGCCTCCCCGTCTCCATGGTAACCTGCAGCAGCCACTGCACCTCCTAACAAGGAACACACCATGGGGCTCCCGGGGGCAATGACCAGTTCGGCGACACCCCTGAGGATAGATGGCAGATGGCTGCCACACTGAAACGAGCCCCAGGCCCCCACTGAGGGCTGACCCAGATGACCAGAAAATATCACGGGGGGTGAAGCGTGCTGCATAATGAAGCCCAGCTAATGCCCTAAACACAAGCTCCTTCCAGCAGGGTCGACCTTACCATTAATGGCCCTGTTCCTCGCCACCCCTGCCCCATGGCCTATCACACTTACCTTCTCCCAGTCCTTCCTGGAGCCTGAGGCAGGTACTCTATTATTCCTGTTTGGGCCTCAGAGAGATTAAATGACCCATCCAAGGCCACATGGATATCACCTGGAAACAAGATTTGAGTCCATCAGGCTGCTTCCATCTACTACAACCCCAACACTGACCTGGCTCTGATTTCGGGCCAGACCAGCTCTAAACCCAAAGAGAGGGAGGGAGGGCCTTTGGCTCAGTTCTGCCATTGGTCTGAGAGCCTCAGAGGACAGTGCGTAAGGGCTGGAGCTTGCAGAGTGGAAGGCAGAGGAGGCAGGGGCTGCTCCCAGGCCTTGGGAAACGTGATGGCCACCAGGAGGCCACAAGATGTAGCAGAAAGAGCAAGCGCTTTGGAATCAGACACACTTACCTGACTCCTCACTAGCTGTGTGACTCTGAACAGATCAGTCCACCTCTTGAATCTTCAATTACCTTATCTGTTAAATGGGAATGATGATAGTAAGAGGACCTACCTCCCAGAGCTGTTGTAAAGATGGATGAGCTAATACATGCAAACTACAGTGCTTGACACATTACAGGGCTTGATAAGCTTAGCGGGGGAAGGGCAGTTCCAAGCAGCCCCCATATCCCCCAACACCCACTCTTGCTCTGCTACCCACAATAGGGTAATAATGGGATGTTGGGAGCTGTGTCCTCATTCCTGCCCCATCCCAGTGCAGGGATGGCAGGTGCAGATTGCAGGGGTAGGGATTGCAGAGGTAGCGGAGGCTCTGAGCAGGATTGCAGAGAAGGACGGGGGCTGCTGGGCTCCAGTTTCTCAGCCCTGTTGGCTTCCCTTGATTCCCTTCCTCTCTGAGAAGCCAGGTGTCTGGACCTCTAAGACCCCTTCCAGAGATCTGCTGCCAATGTCCCGCACACACATACCCAATGTGTGTCAGACCCACAACCTGCACACACACACACACACACACACACAGACACAGAACGCCCCAGCCCAGCTCTGCACCGCCTGGTTCTGGGCAGCTGGTGTGTGGGCGACCAGGCTAGGAAGGAGAAGGGGAAAGGGGGGCATCCGTGTGCTAAAAGCCCACCTGGCCACCCTTGCATGCCCACGCTCCATGTGCTCAGTGCCAACTCACATGTCCTGGCACAGGTGACCTCCTGCCGCCCCCAGAAGGGACTGAAGTTTGTTCCAGCAATAGCAGAAGACAGCACAGGGCAGGGGTACAAACCCACTTCTAACTCCTAGCTGACCTCTGACCCACACACATAGAAAATGCAACTCCAAAGGATGGGCAAGAAGGAAGGGGCTCTGGGAAAGACCCCTGACTCCGGGTGTCTCATCTTCTTACCTGTTCTATCCCCTCTCATACTTTATTCCTGAAGTTTCCTTTCTCTAGCTGTCACCTCTCCTATCACCTATATGTCAATCAGTCTCCCACCTGCCACTCTATCACTCCCAGGTCACAGCACCTCTGTGGTCACTGTGTATCCCTCCGTATTTCACCTTCTTTCCCTTTCCCATCACACCCATGCTCTTCATGACCTCTTGTCTGTCCTTGTCTCCCTCTCTTTGCCTAACACCCCTCCTCTACTGCCATTACCCTGTTGTCTCACTGGACCCCCCACTTCCCCCTCTCCCACCCCTCACCAGGTTCTCTGTGAAAACGCTGCTGGAGAAGTATACGGCAGAACCCATCGATGACTCATCCGAGGAGTTTGTGAATTTTGCAGCCATCTTAGAGCAGATCCTCAGCCACCGTTTCAAAGGTGGGCGGGCCCAGCTCCCTGTCCCCTGTTGTCCAGCCCTCCTAACTCCCAGCCTTTAGCTTCCAGCCACCCACTCTGATCTCCCCTGCGGCTTTCTGAACCCCATCATTGACTCTGAGCCATGCACAGAGCTGGGAAGAGGGGATGGGGCCTTCTGGCCACTTGAGTGGGTGCCCACAAGCCCAATCAATGGGCGTGCAGTTATATGCTAGCGAGCCCTTTGTGCACATGCATGTGTGTGCACATATGTTTGGGGGAGGCACCATGTGTGGGCGTGGCTGCTTATACTTATGCATGTGTATACCTCATTACATGGACCCTGTACAAACTCCCTGGTTTTGCTGAGCCCCCTCCCTGCCCTGGCTCAGCCTGTGCCCCAGCAGGTCCGGTGAGCTGGTTCAGCTCAGACGGGCAGCGGGGCTTCTGGGACTATATCCGGTTGGCCTGCAGCAAAGTGCCCAACAATTGTGTGAGCAGCATTGAGAACATGGAAAACATCAGCACAGCCCGAGCCAAGGTGAGGGGCCTGTGATGGGCAGGGCGAGGGCAGCTGTTGGTTGCAGGGGAATACAGGGGGGGATTGCTTGCTCCTTGTTCCTCACCCCTGCCTACAGGCACTGGGTAGAAGAGCCACAGGAGGTCTAGACCCAATAGTGCACTCATGGGTCCCTTCAGGGCAACAAATAAAGGTGAGTGTGCTTTCCAGGGCCGGGCATGGATCCGAGTGGCACTGATGGAGAAGCGAATGTCGGAATACATCACCACAGCTCTGCGGGACACCCGGACCACCAGGTCAGACCCTCTCAGTCAGCTCGGACCACAGATCCCAGTGTGCACGTTCACTGCCTAAACATACTTGATCCTTCAATTCTTAGAGCAACCTTCAGTACCTGGACTACAACTCCCAGCATGCACTGCTAGCTTGCCAGTTTCCCTCTCCCAGAGTATCCTCTGCCACTGTGCCTGCCCTCCTGGAACACAGCTTTAGCACCACCACCATCTCTTCCAAGTCAGATTAATTATTCTCCACCATCCGGCAGCACTGACCTCATGCACAGCCCTAACCTTAGACACACCTCTGAACAAGCCTCAACTATGTTAACCTTGTTCCATGACCTGTAACACAGAGCCCTACCTACTCCGCAAACAGTGGCAGCAGTCTGTACTTGCTACCCATGGACCACAGAGTCCCAGTGTGCCGAGCCTCAGTCCCTGCACTGTGGGTTTGCAGAGAGAATGGGTCTCAGGGGCAGGGGTCACAGGCAGAATTTGTGCTTGAAGCTGAGTATGGTCAGGGTCATGTCTCTCTCCCCACCAACCCAGTGGTCACATACAACCCAATGTTTTCACTCCATTCTATCTCTAGTCTGTCCTCACATGTCAGAGTTTACACCATATTTTTGAGCACCTGCTGTATGCCAAGCACTAATGATTAGAACTGGTTTCCTGATTTTACCGTTCTGGATGACTCCATGCTTTGCGGGAAAGGGGTAGTTCAGAGGATGGAGGAAAGTATTCTCAGGGAACACACGTTCTAATAGGTGGGAGACACAGTGGGCCCCACTCTGAGGGAGAGACCAGATCCACACCTGAGAGGTGAGCAGGAAAGAGACCCCTCCTTCCTCTAGGAAAGGTCTGTAGTAAGCTAACAAGAGAAGTCCTGAGGGGTGCCCCATCCCCCACCCCCGCGGGAGGATGCTGCACCATCAGTCCCTCGCTCCCCCGCCCCGCAGACGTTTCTATGACTCGGGAGCCATCATGCTTCGGGAGGAAGCCACCGTCCTCACCGGGATGCTGATCGGACTGAGCGCCATAGACTTCAGGTGGGGTCTGGATGGAGGTGGCGGAGGGAGTTTAGCCGCGGACGCCCACATTCCCATCTCCTCCTACCCGCCCCCAACCTTGTGGTTCCTCTGCCCCCAGCTTCTGCCTAAAGGGCGAAGTGCTGGACGGGAAGACCCCCGTGGTCATCGATTACACACCCTACCTAAAGTTCACCCAGAGGTGAGCAGCAGGACTGCTGTGATGGGTGGGGGACGGCGGGCAGGGGGCAGGCTGCGCCGGCATCCGGGTCCCTCCGGCCCAGGGGGCCGGCAAGGGAAGCCCGGGCGGGCAGAGCGGGCCGTGCCCACCGCTCCTTCCCCCAAGCTATGACTACCTGACGGACGAGGAGGAGCGGCACAGCGCCGAGAGCAGTACCAGCGAGGACAACTCGCCCGAGCACCCGTACCTGCCGCTCGTCACCGACGAGGACAGCTGGTACAGCAAATGGCACAAGATGGAACAGAAGTTCCGCATCGTCTACGCGCAGAAGGTGCGTGATGCCGCGGCGGGGGCTGCGGGCTGGGGGAAGGGGGGCGGGCGGCCGCTGGGACCCTCCCCCCGCGTCCCGCGGC